ATATCCTATGTTGGATACGTTGGGCCTTTAATGAAGCATTTACAAGATCAAACAAGAAGAGGTGCCCTCCCCCCGGCCTCTTAAAGCTGTAATTAATTGCCAAGTAAGTAGCACATAATTGCCTTCCCAAGAGCACCCTGAGAGCAGGGCACGCCTGACAAAGGTGCCGGAGCAAAAGCGGGTTAATTAACATTAGGAATTAAGTGGCTAATTGCATTGTTCTGCTGGGGCAGCCCACCCTCCCTGCAGGGTGGCATTCTCAGGATGAATCCCTGCTCGTGGGTCCAGCCCACGGGGATGTGCTGTGCCAGGAGATGTTGGCAGCATCCCACTGCTGGTGACCCAAAGGACCATCCACCAAAATCTGTCCCCATCTGGGCCTTTCCTGCTTTCCCTCAGCGTGTCCCCAGCATTTTGGTGCCCTCTGGGCTGGGTGATGTCTCCTCCAGCTCACACATCCAGCCTGGAGCCTCCCTCCTGCCCAGTCTCTAATCTCTCCTGTGAGGTCTCAGGGTTCTCCCAAATTCCCTGTTCTCCCCTGGAGCACTGTAGGGACACAGAGACTGCTGAGCCTTGGAGGAGTGGATGAAACTCCCTCTGGGAATTCTCTTCCTGGGATGGACATCTTCCCACGGGCTGAGCAGCAGCGTCCATGGAAGGAATGAGAAGGAGATGCCCTTACAAACTTGTGGGGCTGCTGGTAGATAAAGCTAAATATTGAGAGGTGAAAGAAGCAGTGGGGAGAACCATCAATTCCAGAGGAATTCCACTGATTGACACAGATTGTTACTCAAGACTGTGCTAAATCCGTGGATTTAGAGGAAAAGAGGAAGGAAGGAAGGAATTAGAAGGGGGTCTGTATAAGGTGATTTGGTAAGTCTGTGCTTCTCAAGTACCTCAGTCAGTGGGGAAGTGTTCAAAATGAGAAACTGAAAGTTTCTAACCAGGCAGGAACTGTTGAGAAGAATGTAAATAAAGCTCTTTATATCTCTTGTTATTCACATTATTTATAGTTAAGTTTTGCTACTGTACATCATTCACTACACACCAATAGTGTGCATTGTTTTCACTCTAAGTCAAATAAAATTACTTTAAACAAAACTCTCTGTTATAAAACAATGTATTTGAAATAAATCAGAGTTCTATTCTCTCACCTTCTAGCTCAAAAATCTCTTCATTCCCATCCTACCGCAACAACATCAGGGAAGGAGAGAGGGAAACGTGGCTGGGAAATGAAGATAAAAAGGAGGCTCCAACAACTTAAGAGACCCTATGGGAAATACCCTATGGCCTCTCCTTTTATTTGAATGAAGTTCCAGGACTCCTCTGTCTCCTTTTTGGACATAAACCTGAGGTGTTTGTGGCTTAATGTTCCTGACACACATGGAGGCACAGGGGGCTGTGCTGGTGCTTGGTGCCCAGCCTGTCCCTGTGCTCTGCTGCCCCGCTGCCCTCTCAAGCACAAACCCTTCTCAGCGAAGACTTTACGAGCCTGTTCCTTAGCTAACAGCACTTGCCTTAACCTTTCCCTTGGCTCTTCTTCCTCTGTTATGTTGCTGCTAATTCCGGGGATATTTCTTCATCTCCTGACAGTCCAAATGCAGCAGCCAGGGTAATAAACAGCACATTAGCTGAGCTTTGTTAGAGTGAACAGGAGGGCCGACAAGAGGAGTTGCTCTCCCGGGCAACATCTTCATTGTGTTGAATCATTTCCTGCCTCTCCAGAGCTTCCCTAAGTCTGGGTGAATCTGGGATGGCCCCGTTCCCACCCGGCTGTGGCAGGGGAAGAGCTGACCCACGCTGTGGGACAGGTCATGGAGATGTGAGAAGAGGAGGAGGAAGAAGCAGAGGAGAAATTGGGTGCCCTGAGTTGCCCCAGTGAAAGCTGGGATGGCCAAACTGGGATGGGCAGAGTTGGTGCTCAGAGGTGATGCCAGAGGCTCCACCAGTCCAATGAAGGACTCAGCAGTGGTTTGCCAGCAGCCCTCAGGTTGCTTTTCAATGATTGTCTCCAAGGGGGCACAGGAAGTTCAGTTCCTGCTGGATGGCTCCAAAGAGGTTCCCCAAAAAGGAGCAGTGGGTTTGAGCTGAGCTGAGACATCTCCCTGCACCCACAAACCCTCAGCCTGGGCTGGGGACAGTGGAGGCCTGGGGGACAGTGGGGCAGTAAGGCTCACTGGTGGGAGAGGAACCTTGAAGCTCACATTTGAGTCTTTCTCAATGCATAAATGCTCATCTGAGCCGGGTGGGATGGCAGCTCCTCACTGTGCCCTCAGAGCCAGAAAGTTTGTGGGTGTTGGAAAAAACACAGCACAATCCTGTTTGTGTGGCCACACATCAGACTGAGATTCATCTCCTGGCCCTTCCCCTTCCCAAACCCCTCCCTGAGCATCTCTGTCCTGCTGCCAGCACTGAGGGAATGCTGAGAGGAGGATCTTGGAGTGAGCCAGGGCTGGAGAGGAGCAGCTCCTTCATTTGGCCTCTCCATTCCTGTTTGTGTTTGGATGTGTGGGAAATGTCTTCCCAAAGGGCTCTGATGGAGAAGAACTCTGGAAATACTTCCAGGCTGCCCAACCTGGCATTACCCCACCAGCTAATTAAAATGGGAGCGTCCCAAAGTGATGAGTTTGCAGGGAGGCTGCAGCTCTGAAAGAGATTGATGTTGCATGGCTTATCAATTTTCAATCTCAACACAGCCAGATATTTATCAGGCTGCAGAGAACAAGCACTTGTAATATTTAAAGGGGGAAGACTTTAATGAAATCCATTGCAGATCACCAATTTCTGTTCCCCTGGGTTCATTCCTTTCCTCTTCTTTCAGTCATTTTTCTTTTTTTTCAGTCTTATTTTCTTTTTTTTTTTTTTTTAAGCATACAATAGTCAATGAGGGAAGGAGAGTTTCATTTCAAATGCCTGTTCCCTTCATCTCCCCCCGCTTCTCTTTCCCATCTGAAAGGTTTATGCATTTATTTGGATAAAAGGTTTTAAACAATAAAGAACTGTCTGCAGTAATTTGTGAAGGTAATAGATTATCCTGGGAGGAGGCCTAGGCTGAAAAATTCCCTACTGCAGAATTCAGTCCTTGTCATTATTAGGAAAGGGAAAGAAGGAGAGTCGGAGGGAGAAGAACACAATCACTGGGCTGAATTATTTACCAAAGTAAATCCTCCCATTTTTACGAGCAGCACCTGAATTTGGGCCTTTCTCACACTCACTCCCAGGTCAGGCCATGCAATCAAGCTGCCAGATAATTTTCCCAAAGTCACCTCGATGGCAAATAGCTGATGGCTCCAGCCCTGGGAAGACAATTGGATACGGTCTGGGATTAAAAACAGCCCCCAGATTTCTCCAAGGAGACCTCAAGATAAGGTTTGGGATCAAAAACAGCCCCCAAATTTCTGCAAGGAGAGCTTGAGAAAAGGACTGAGATGAAAACCACCCCCCAGCTTTCTCCAAGGAGACCTCAAGACAAGGTTTGGGATCAAAAACAGCCCCCAAATTTCTGCAAGGAGAGCTTGAGAAAAGGACTGGGATGAAAACCACCCCCCAGCTTTCTGCAAGGAGACCTCAAGACAAGGTCTGGGATCAAAAACACCCCCCAGTTTTCTCCAAGGAGACCTTGAGACAAGGTCTGGGATGAAAACCACCTCCCAGCTTTCTGCAAGGAGACCTTGAGACAAGGTCTGGGATGGAAACCACCCCCAGTTTTCTCCAAGGAGACCTCGAGACAAGGTCTGGGATGAAAACCACCCCCGAACTTTCTCTGAGGAGACCTCAAGGTAAGGTCTGGGATAAAAAACACCCCCCAAATTTCTCCAAGGAGACCTCAAGACAAGGTTTGGGATCAAAAACACCCCCCAGTTTACTGCAAGGAGACCTTGAGACAAGATCTGAGATGAAAACCACCTCCCAGCTTTCTGCAAGGAGACCTTGAGACATGGTCTGGGATGAAAACCACCTCCCAGTTTTCTCCAAGGAGACCTCGAGACAAGGTCTGGGATGAAAACCACCCCCCAACTTTCTGCAAGGAGACCTCGAGAGAAATTCCCTGATCTCCAGAGGTCCCCGGGATGGTCCAGCCAAAACCCATCGGGCTGGTCCCGAGCCTAGCGTTCAAAACCCAGCTTTAGAGTCCAGGTCTGCTTTGAAATGCTCATTAGCACGGCGGGAAGAGGGATCACAATGCATGCGGGCTGCCTAAATCGCTAATCAATAGCGAGAGGCTCTGGCTGCTGCTCCAGCACCTCCAGCCCCTTCCCCCGCCTTAATAAACACACGCTGCTGCTGTCTGGGCCAGCGTCTCAGACTGACTAATCACCTCCAAACAACTTGTAAATGCATGGTTAATGAGAACTGCATGAATAATTGCTTTTTCATTTTCCTGCCTAACCAGGAAAAAAAGAAAAAAATATATAAAGCCACCCCAGAATGAGATTTCTTTCTTGGCGGAGCTGCCCAAAATAGAAAGTTTTCCAGCATTTTTCTTGCTGTGAAGGAATTTGTGTGTGTGAGCCCTCTCCACCTTCTCAAAGCCTTTGAGATGAAATGAAGGAGTCAATATAATCCAAAATAAACCAGATTCCTGTTTGCTTTACACTCATTTTCCTCTCTTTTGAAAGTATTTTAAAAATTAGGTTGAGGCAAATGTAATCTTTGAGCAGTGTTTTGAATGGAAATGGTTTTATTTCCCCATTCTGGGAATAAAAGATCTCTTTGAAACCCGATGCGAAAATCTCCTGGCATAGAAGGGGGGGGAAAAAAAAAAAGTGCCTTTTCTATCATTTATTAAAGATGTCTGAAAGAATCTCGGATCGCTGCGTTCTTCAAACGCTGCAGTCACTCCCCCTGCAGCTCCGGCTCTGGGAAGATGACGGGATTGGGAGGTGGGCTGACCCTGGCTGGGCCCAAAGCTGCTCTATCCCTGCCCTCCTCAGCTGGAGAGCAGAGAAAACAGCAGGAAAAGCTTTGTGGGTGGAGATAAGGATGAGCTGGAAGCTTCTGGCAGCCACTTCTGTATCCCACCCTGCCATCCAAACCCAGCCCAGACTGTGACCCGCGGATGGAGACAGAACTCCAAGGATATTGTACCTGTGGCCAATTCAACATTTCCAGGGGATTTCTGCATTTATCAGGTTGGTTGCTGTCCCCTTCCAGAGACAGTTCCACCCCAGGAGCTTGGAAAGCAGCACTGAATGCAAATAGGAGCTGGATCCTGTTTATTTGCACTCGCTCAAACTTCTGTGAGGGTGTCTTGTTCGTTTTTCTAATGGCAAATCTGGGCTTGGCTTATAAAACCAATTCCTAATTGAGTGTAAGAAATTCAAGAAGCTACAAACACCCTAAACCAGACTAGTTTGCAGCAGCCTCTAAGCCTATTTTGCATTAAATCAGGTTTTCTCTGTAAATGAGGCCTTCACTATAATTGCTCTGGAGCAGCTTATTCTGATTTCTTCGCCTCTTTGGCTTTGGTAATTTGTCTTCAGCAAAACACTGAGGACAGACAAAGCCCAGGGGAAGGCAGGGGATGCTCAGGAGGACAAGCCTTGCTGCCACAAGCTGTTCCTCCCCTCCTCCCATCTGCCCAGCTCTTCACCCGTGGCAGGAGGGGGAATTCTGAGGGAATTCTGAGCCCAGCCCAGCATTTCCCAAATCCCCAGTGCAGGGCCAGGCTCTTGGGGACACTCAGAGGGAGCCTGGTGACTTCGGTGCCTGCAGCACCACCCATGCTGGGGTGATGGCAAATGGGGGAGGGAGGGAAGGCTGGGAAAGCAGGGTTGGAAAATGAGGTTTTTTTAATTCCAGCAAGTCCTGCCTTAGGAAAATTCACCTTGTATTTATTTACAGAGGCTGGGTTCTCACAGCTCCTCACCCCCAGCAGCCCTGGGGGATCTCTGGGGCACATTCTTGTTCCGAGTGCTGAGCACGGGGTGTGAATGGGGCCCCCAAAAACACCCGGGCACGGGCACCTCTGGCACATCCTGCTGCCAGCCCACCCCAAAGGCAGAGCTCTGCCAGGACAGGGGATGTGCCTGCCCACAGCCACTGCCCTGCAGCCCTCGCAGGCAGGATCAGGAGGAGACAGAGAAATCCATGGGCTGAACACCCCCAAACACCAGCAGGGGAGCACTGGCACTCCCACCACCAACCTGTCCCAGATTCGCACCCAGATTTGGGGTGTGGTTCCATCTCTTTGTGCCCTTGCACAGCCGCCCAGCAGATCCCATCCCTAAAAATCCAGAGGGGATTGGGGGGATTGCAATCCTTGATAATCCGGGGGGGGCAAATCCAGGGGGCCAAACCCTCCTGGAGCTCAATAAATAAGCAACATCCAGCACAGTTTAGCGAGCACAGCTGGGCTCTCCCAAGGAGTTCAGAGCTAATTCCACCTCTGCACTGAAGACTTTCGATGACTGCTAATGAATTTAAATGATGGGGATTTTCTTTTCATGCTTCGTTGCACATGCTCCTCACATTAAGATGCTAATTAAGAATCCATCAGCCCAAGCTGGGAATGATGTGGCCACGGAGCAAAGTGGAGCTGTGACAGTGGCTTGGGGGCTGCTCAGTGGGACCTTTCGTGGAGTCTGATAAATTATTTGCTTCCACAAGACTGCTCTGTACAGGTCCCATGGGGAGCTGGGATTTGCTGTGCCTCTCATGTGTCAGTGGCTTGTTTGATCCCACTGGGATGTCTGAGGGATGCTTGGGCAGCCTGGGCTGTGTGTGAGAGGAAAGGAGGGCACAGAGAACAAATCCCTCAAGGGCCAATGAATATAAACTCACCATCACTGACAGGGAAAATCCCTGAGCAAACTGTCCCCAGCAAACTGTTGGAGCCTGTGAGATATTCTGGATAAGAGCACAATTTTCTGCTTTTCTGGTGTGTTTTCCACATTTGAACACAGCTGCTCTGGGCAGGTGGAGCTGTTGTGTTTTCAGGTGATTCTAAGCAAGGCCTTCAGTTATTTTGCTGAGATTTGTTTGTTTTTGGTTCCATGGATGCTTCCCAGGTGCTAACACATCCCACCCTCAGGCATCCTGTTTGGAAGGAGGGTTTGGCACTGGGATGTCATGGCATTCCAGGTGGGAAATTCCTCCTTCTAACCCACCAAACCCTGTCAGGACATCTCAACAGCAGTAGCTGAGAAATTACTGCTAAAATCTGGGCTGAGCCAAAGCCTTCGACTGTTTTTTAAAAGTCAGGGGGAGGGTGAGAGAGAAGAAAAGGTTTATAAATCATGAAACCTATTAATCTAATCCTAGAACAAATTTGCCAATTCTAAAATGGATTTTCAGGGATGATGGGAAAAAATGGATTTTGCAAATCTTAACAATTAGTCCTTCTTAAAGAGCTTCTTACTTCCCAGATCAGCTTTGTGCTCGGGACAGTTTGGTAAGAGATTGTTCCTGGCTGCCTGTGGCCTCTCATTATGAGAGGGATTGAAAATGCTAATTCTGGGGCTGGAAGTCTGCTCAGTCCTCCAAGGATTGTATACAGTGTGAGGAAATGAATTCTCACACTTAACCACTTCACTGCTGCTCTGCTTTCTGAAGAAAATACCTGCAGCTGCAAAAGATTTTTGAAACAGCTGAGATCTCAGATTTGATCCAAACCTCAGGAAAACACCTCCCTCCCCAATTCTATCCAAATTTTGGGTATAGTTACAGCTCTACTTCAGTCCTGGAGAAGAGCTTTGGTGCTGCTGTGGTCACTTCACGGCCGTCTGTTAAAGGTTTTCACAACACCATCACTATTTTTGTGGCATCCATCCAAAAACTAGAAGAGCAGGGAAAAAAAAATTTAAAAAAGGCTGGCATGGGGAGCGAGGAGCTTGTTCTGCAGTGGAGCCTCTTGGCTTATTAAGCTCAGCAAAGGGGAAGTTGAGTGGGCACAGGATCACTCCCGTGCGTCCATCGCAGCGCGCGGCTCCGTGGGGAGAGAAGGACGCGGCCGCTTCCAGAGAAAAACCGGCATGGGGGGAAAGCAGGCAGGAATCCGTTTCAGATGGCAATTTAGCAAAGGTTCTGCTGGCAGAGGAAGGGAGGGGGCTGTCTGGGGTCGTGATGCCCCGTGAGAGGGATGCAGAGCCTGCTCTGGGCTCCTGAGCAGCGCGTGTGGCAGCGCGTGTGGCACGGCCTGAGCTGCTGCTGGCAGCTTGTTTGTCTCGGGGATGCTGGAATATCCAGGGCCCAGCTGGTGGGGGAATTATGGAGAGCCTGCACGTGTGTACGACAAATCAAAAGGGACGCGAGAAATTAGGAAAGGGAAACGTTTATTTTCTGCCTTTTGAATGCGCGTCGCAGCCGGTCGAGAGCGAAATTAATTCGTTCATTAAAGGCACTCGGCGTGGCAGATGAAGTGGCAGAGGCAGCCTGGGAGTGGGGCTGCCTCGCCAGGGAGGCTGAGGGCACGGAGGGCACAGCAGGGAGCAGAGCTCTGCTGCTGGGACAGCCTGGCTGGAAGCTCAGCCAGGAGATGCTCCCCAAGGAACCCCGAGGGGGAATGTTGTCTCAATCAAGAGGTTTACACAAGAGGTTTTTTTCCTGCCTTTGCTGCACAGCTGCTCGTGGTACCTCAGATATTTGGCTCCTGAGATGTCTGTAGAGGCTCCCACCTTTTCCTTTCCTCTTTTCAGTCTCAGAGAGAGTGCCCTGTGCTGCCTGATGGCTCCTGGGGGTCATTCCCTCTTCAAGGGAGGCTCTTCCCCTTGTGCCAGCACAGCAAAGAGAACTTTCTCAGGGATTTTGGGGCAGCTGAGGTGCAAACTGT